ATATATATATATAAATAAAAAAAGGCCCATACAACAACAGCAGGCATGCCCAACATGGTTCTTACTAAGGCTTACTGCCACGTGTTTAATGCTTAACCACTTCCAGTAAAACCCAAGAAAGTCTACAAAAAAAGCTTGTGCTTAATATCTCATTCGATTGCAACGTTTGGCTTTTCTATGCTACACGTGTGTATAGCTCTGAAATGTTGCGTCTAATTTTTTTTTTTTTTTTTACATTAATGAAAAAGTATGACATGTTTTGTTTTATGTATACACATATATAAAAGCCATAGTTCTTTTGAAGGATCCTTCCCAAAATATGTAGTATTTGTTACATAAAAATAAATCTGCTGATGAAATATTGGTGATAGAGACTTTTAAACCTTCAATTATCAACATTAGTCACCAAATGTACTTTTTTAAAGTCATCTTTGTATTTTTACTTATGTTGGAGTACTGTTTGTTAGAACTTCTTATCTTTGCCTGTATTCAGGTTTTAGTATGTAGTATTCAAACAACGCACTTCACATACAGTACTAAAGATTCTCATCCTTTGCGACCTTGAAATTGGTTATCCTGAAGGCATGCCATTGTTCTGCCATGAACAGACAACCGTTTTTGATCAATTGAGAGTAAAGACAGTGAGTTTGAATGTAGGTCACCCTGGTGTTTCCTGTAGCTGAGTGGCATCCTAAGCACAACCTTGCCTGAGGTGTTTGACATTTATTGACTTTAACTGTGCAAACTGACTACAAAGTAGTGTCAAAACAAAACTCCCAACAGCTAAGGAGTATGGGGCGCCGTTTGCAATAAAGGAGTGGATCTGTTTGCAGCTGTATAACCAGTCACCCTAGAATCTCCCTCCATTTCTGACCCTGGATATTTCAGGACATGATAAAAATACCCCTGAGATCAGCTGGTGGTGGATCTCAAATATTAGAAGCAGTTCATTCAGCAGCAACGCTTCGAAATAGATTTGTGTGTGTACATATAGGTGTGTGTGTGTTTGTACTTTTAAACCAGGTCAAACGCAGTAGTGAAGCATTAGGGCCTGAGCTGGATGAACTTTGGTATTCTTGCATGAGAGAGAAATAAAACGAGCAAGCTAACAGAGAGAGGGAGGATATGAAACATCTACTACTCACGAACACTGCAACCACAACTGTGTGCCAGTTTCCGTTTGAGTGACAGCTTACCAGCTAAAAAGCTAACGTTGGCATACTTGTTTAACACGAAGATTGTGCCAAGTATTGGAGGAGAGGGGTAACTCCTAAGCAAAAGTTAATAAACACCTCCAGTGTTTTAAAGTACATTTGTGTAGCTAGCTGTTCGTTTATTCTCGTGAGCTGTTAACATACCCAAGGCGATATACTCTCTCTTCACTCCCGTTTTTTGCTCCAGTGTTGCCAACTGATCAGTCACAAAGTTCTTCTCATGGAGCAGAGTCACGAAGCGCTCCTTAAAGTGACTCATTTTCGGGCCTTCCCGAGCCTGCGACCGAAACAAAACCGTACAGAAGACAAAACAAATGTTACATGACCCCAAATTCGAGGAGTTTACAAGAAAACGGGCGGTTTACTTACTAACCTTTGCTTGATAACTTGCCCAAAAACTTGCCGCTGTGAGGGTATCCGATGACTCCACCGGGCTGTGGCGGCAGAGGGGAGGAGCCTGGATGTGTCTGACCAATCACAAAGCTCGACTGACAAAAGCTGGCCGCTACAGTTGATGAAATAAACGGTTTGTGCTGCCCACGTTTGAAGAAGCTCAGTCATTTGGAGGTCCAGGAAACATTGCTAGTCTGTTGGGCCGTTAGTGAGTTAATAATCTGTTAAATTATGTGACCCCATCTTTATATTTTCTTTTTCCTATGTATGAAAGCTGCTAATATGTAAGGAATGTTTATTCTCTGAATGTGTAATATGTGGTGCATTTTGTTTAAATGTTAATTTTACTACTAAAAAAAAAAGTCTGTTGGGCCGCTATCATCCTTAAAATGCTTTAATTTCCCCACACATCCACTTCTGCAGTTACACCGGATGAATTTAATATTTGACTTACAAGGCTTGACTGTTTACTAAGTTTTATCAGTGTGTATCCATGCACACTAATAAACAGTGTTGGGAAGGTTACTTTTAAAATGTATTCCACTACAAATTACAAAATACATGCCCCAAAATGTATTTTGTAACGTATTCCGTTACGTTACTCAATGAGAGAAACGTATTCTGAATACTTTGGATTACTTAATATATTATCATGCTTTTTACAACTACATGACTGTACTATTGCTGTGTGATTTATTACTATTACTGAAGGTCCGCGGCTCCGAACCGTAGTAAAGGGACCTCTGGCTAATATGTCAGGTTTGCGTCTGGCTCATAGCTGAAAACTAGCTTTACCTTGTTGTCTGGGTCAACTTTGCTAGCGAGAGACAGAGAGAGGCGTTGAAAGGCTGCTCCAACGGAACTTATTGTTTCGGAGGAAAACACAAACACGGTGTACAGTCGAGTCTTAATAGTTTACTTACAACTGGGCTCGTCAGGCACTCTTTTTGGCTGCAGTGGTTATTATTATATTTACATGGTTCCAGCTCTACTTTTCCACTCTCCTTTTTCTCCCTCCTCGCGCTCACAGACACATAACGGGTATTGATAGGTTTGTAGCTTGAACCCATCCACTGGAACGTTGAAGACAATATAATTACACAGCAAGCAAGACCCGAAGTAGGCAAAGTTCTTCATGTTACTCATGCATGAGTGTCGTTCCACCACTTGACCTCCGTCAGAGACTCTCAGCCAGGTTCCCCATAGCACTCCTTTTATTGTGGTTACATGAATATGCATAGGGTCATTAACATATAACATCTTACATAGGTATACATGTGAACAAAGAATACTGTGTATGTGTGTGTGTGTGTGTGTATGTGTGTGTGTGAGAGTGATCTGTGTGAGGTCAAGATGTGACCCTGTGAAGACCTCCCCAAAGCTGGTGCCAGGAGTCTACCGGGTCCATCTGAACAAAAGGCTCTTATACTTAAACAGATATACGTGTATTTGCTATACCATATATCAACAAGAGAAGATACAGATCTATGCCAGAACACTCTGTAGAGGAGTGAACGGACCCCCCTCTTCATGCTACACAGAGTTGTTACAGACCTCCTAGGATGAGACATTCTTTCAATCTACAAATGATTATACACTTCTAAGCATATATGGTTAAATATTTCTAAGCATAAATGACAATGAACAATACAAAACCTAACAGGTATGGCAGTCCATTCTCCCTGCAGCACGGACTACACTGCCCACATTCTTTAGGGCTATGCCTGTAGCATTCTGCCTATTAGCTTAGCACAACAACAACAGCAACAACAAAAAGGCCTCTCTCACCCAGGAAACACACGGTCGCAGAGAGGGCAAGCGTCACCCTGTAACCATGGTAACCGTAACGCTGCCTCCTGGAACAACAGAACATCACAGCTGTCAAACAAAACCCAAACAGTCCTGACCCGCCACAATATGAAACAGGAAAAATACCGCTGTGTAATCCATTTATTTCAACAAAGTAACTGTATTCTAAATACCACCTTTTTAAAGGGTAACTGTAACGGAGTACAGTTACTCATATTTTGTATTTTAAATACGTAACGGCGATACATGTATTCCGTTACTCCCCAACACTGCTAATAAACGTACTAATTCTCGATCGTAGCGGCCTATGACTTTAACTGTTGTTTGGACAGTACACTTGTCCAGGCAGGTAAGACTTTTTAAGAAAAACCTGGGAAATCTGCATGAGGTGTTTACATTTCTATCAGAAAACGTCTCTCTGTTGCTAACCAGAATATACTAAAAAGCTGTATACATGTATAAAAAGTTCTTGCAATGTAAGAAAGAGTAAGGCCAGTCACTGTCAGTGGTAGCAGTGAAGTTGCCCTTCAACTGAAAGCAAATACAAACACATTTTCTCAGAAGAGGTTTTATTGAAACAAAAAGAAACACATACTCTTGTGTCACCAGTGCACATTAAAGGAATGTTAATTACACATAAGCATATATTACATAGATGTGCACTCTTCAAACAATTTATTAGGTACATCTTGGTAATGCTGGGCTGGACCGCTTTTTGCCTTCAGCATTGCCTTAATTCTTTGTGAATTAGATTCAAAAAGGTGCTGGAAACATTCCTTAGAGATTTTTCTTCATATTGGCATGATAACATCACACAGTTGCGCTCACGTTTTCATTCAAACTTTGACCACGTGGCAAAGGTGCTCTTCTGGACTAAGATCTGGTGATTGGGGAGGTCATTTGAATACAGCCCCCCGCCCAGTCTCCTACTGCGCAATTTCTGTGAAAAATGTAGCCTCAGTTTAAAGTTCTTAGCTGAGAGGAGTGACACCCAGTGTGGTCATCTGACGCTGTAGCCCATCTGCATCAAGGTCTGATGTGTTTTTAGTTCAGAGATGCTCTTTTGCATACCTTGTTTATAACAAGTGGTCACTGTTTCCCTCTCAGCTCGAAGTACTCTGTTGTACCTAATAAAGTGGTTGCTGAATCTTGCTAGCATGACTTTACTGGACTACACAGTAATTGGTGCTATGTTCTCAGTTTGTATATTTTTTTTGTGTGTTTTCTGATGCATATAGTTGCAGAATTGTGTCATTTCAAGGTTTTTATTCAGTAATCACAGAGATGAAGTGATGTACTAGCCTTTTGCAAGGATGAGTCAGTTAAAATGCCTTAACGGTTTTTAAAACTGCATTAAGAACAGTAAGAGTGATGCTCCTGATGTGAGAATTACACCAAAGTGATTGAGAACAACTTTAATATCTCAGTGTTGACTCTTGATTCCAGTAGCTTATGACAATAAAAGTTGTATGTAGAGTGTACTTGTCTAGGCAGGTCTTGATTCTTAGGAAAAAGGGTATTTATGCAACATTGAAATCTTGTGATTTCAATGTTGGCAACCAGGATATATTAAAAACCTGCAATAAGCTGTTGCAGTAAAGTAAACTTTTAAAAAGCGTTTGAAACTTTTATATAATAAAACCAGCCGTGTTTTTTCTAAAAGAAAATAATTATTGTAACAGTGGAAGTAGCCACTGCCTGCAGCCTCGCAGCTTTACATTTGTGTAACAAAAACCACCTCACCCATGGATTTCTGTGTGTTTACAAGGTGAGTCACAGCAATCTGAGTAGACAAAACCTTACAGCAAACAACCAAAGTACAAAACAAATATTGTTCAGGACATATAACTCAGATCTTTCTAAACTGCTCGTTAATCCAATACAGAGAATGGTCTGAAAAACAGAAAGTGTCAGTGAGCGGTAACGGGTGAAAATACCTTGTTCATCTCATGGTCATTGGAGAATGAGTACCTTGACCTGATAGGAAGGCAACAGCACCTCAAATAGGCATTTGTTACAAACAAGGTATGCAAAAGAAGACCTATGAACGCACATGGCACAGATGGGCTACAGCAGCAGAAGACCTAGCTCTTTATTAAGTCTGCCATTTGCCAGCTAATAAAGTCTGTCGGGCGAGTCCTGCATTTGGGTCCACTGCCTGGCACACAGTACTTCATGATACCTTCAGTCATCACATCTCAGTCGAGTAGAGCAACTTTGGGATGTGACTGAAGAGGAAATTTGAATGAGGAGCTTAAAAATCTGCATTACACTTTTGAGAACTGCTTTAAGTGAGAAACTGTAAAACAGTCATTAGATAATACAAATAACCAGCCAAAAATAATAACAGATTCATTACACACCATTTCAAATACTTCACAAAATGTAAATAAAAGAACAGTTTTCACAAATTGTAACACAGGTCTTTCCGAACTCTGCTTGTTTCAGTTCTACAAAAATAATAAAGATGTGGGGACCAACATATGCCAAGAAAATATCACTCGTATCATTATTGTACATCACTGGCACTGGTTGAACTGTTGATACAAGCCAGTGTGGAACTGTGCTTTCATGTGTGTATGTCAAATTCTGACCAAACTATCCGAATATCACAGGAGAAATCGAGACTTATTATACCAGCAAACATTTTCCAATCCTATTTTGTTTAGTTTTGGTGAATTATAGTTTGTTTCCTGTTCTTACCTGACAGGAGATGCATCCTGTGTGGCCTTCCACCGCTGCAGTCTATCTGGTTCAAGGTTTGAAGGATCGCTTCCGCATTACTTAGTTGTAATGAATGATTATTTGAATTATTGTTGCTTTCCTATCCTATTCTCCTTTGAACTCTGGTATCAAAAAACTCCCAAAAAAACATGCAAATAAAGAAAACAAACACATTGATACTGCCTTCCTTGGGCATTTTCTCTTTTTCAGATCATAAGATGATTGTCTGTAAACCCTATTTCTTTGTGGGAAACAGAACAAACAGCTGGCACAACAACTGTGTCAAATTCAAAGTCACTTAAATCACCTGATTTAACTGCTGCTCAGTTTGAAGTTCAGCAGATCATCTTGAACATGACTACGTGCCTAAATACAGTGAGTAGCTGCCATCATTGTGTCTTGAGAGATTTGTGTTATGCTGTGGCATCCAGTGTACTTAATAAAATGGCCAGTGCCTTTTTGAATTCTGTTCATATGGGTTTTCATTGCATGTGCAAAAATATAGTCCAACATGGTTACAAAAATTTCATTTGAAATTGCTGTTCCTGATCTTTGTCTCCGTCTTCATCTTCATCATTTCTTTCAAATGGTTTCCATCTATTTCTGGATCCACCTTCAGCTCAGATTTGCCTTTACTCTGAACTCACTCACATTAGTTTCATCACATCAGTAGCAACAAAATGCAACAATTTTAGAGATGTTTGTTCAAGAAATAATGGTTATCAATAATGATTGATAAGCTGTGTTGAAATTCTGCCTTCAGTGGTTATCATTATACATCACAATGGGAAAACTACAAAAAATGTGTTTGGCTGCAAGAGAAGATGTTCAGAGTTTTGCAGAAAGGTTTTACCAAACCAGTTTCTTGACTCATTAAATTTGGTTTATAGAATGAGATGTAATACTGGGATTTTGACATGATATTAATGACTAATGGTAATCTAGGAGCCACTGAAAACTCATACATGAACATTTAAAGCTTGGAACACTGTTGTTGCAATACAATCTTGGTCTATGCAGTGTTTCTAACGTCACAGATGAAGCACCAAGATTAACTGATACACATGATCATGGACATTTACCAAGAGTTGTTGTGAATTTGGATTGTCAGCAGAGGGCAGTCTGCGACTATCTATGGTTGAAAAGACCTTCCTTGGCTTCCTTGGGTAATCTTGCAAAGATAAGAAAGCCACAGGCATGGAAGTGGGAAGTCACATTTCTGCATATTCAGTCCACAGGGATATGCAGAGTTATCTTACTCCCCCCTCTCTCAGTTTCACAGGGACAGATGTGCCCAAATGCATTTTGCATGATTTTATGCATCACTGATCTTTGGAGTTTAAGTTCTCCTTTCAATGAGAGTCTGAACTGTTTTCATGCACTCACACTGAAAACTGCATCAAGATGATGTTGATAGCAACTCTGACTCTCGTGTTGGGTTTTCTAATGCAAGGTGAGAATTTCTAAACATTTATTAACTTTTTCATTTAAATGTTTTAGTTTTATCGTAATCTTCGCTGGTGATTATCAAGGTTTTTTTTAAATCAGATTTAATTTTGTTTATCATTTCAGATTCCTTGGCCAATAAATTTCTTACTCAGGCTGATAAATCCAAACCTGTCAGTCTTGGTGCGACTCTGACCATCAGCGCCACAGGAAGTTCAGATATTGGTGCTGATCTCAGTTGGTACCTTCAGAAACCTGGACAGCCTCCCAAACTTCTTATATATCAAGCATCAACTCGCTCCTCAGGAACTCCATCTCGATTCAGTGGCAGTAGATCTGGTTCTCAGTACACTTTAACCATCAGTGGGTTTCAGGCTGAAGATGCTGGAGATTATTACTGTATGGGTGTGCATACTGGTGGAGTATGCGCACAGTGATTTAGAGCTGCACAAAAACCTCCTTCAGTCTGAGTGAAGGCTGCAGGTGCAGAGTGCAGTGAAGAGACTGTGATGAGAATAACTGGTCCACTGAACACAACAATAGAGTCATCAAACACATACACAAAATAAAAGTTTATAATAAGAAGTTTTAACATAAAAATGTATATCATTTAATTTTATCTTTTCTAAAACATGGCTGCTGCGATGGATGCATTGATAGAAAAAAATATTACATCCCCATAATTTTCCCCTACCGCTATTGTAATTATAATATAATGAACATGTTAAGCTTTATCTTTAACTCTGTTGCGCAAAAGTATGAGATTCACAATGCAGCATAAGGTTTAATAATTAAACATAAAAGCTCTATTGCAAAACTAAGTAAATACGAACAGAGTGTTTTATTGTACTTTTATTTCATGCTGTAAGTTACATTCCTTATTATCAGAGTTTGGCAGTAACGCGTTACTATAATCCGATTACTTTTTTCAAGTAACGAGTAAAGTAAGGGATTACTATTGCAAAAACCATAATTAGATTACCGTTACTTTCCCGTAGGAACGCTGCGTTACTGCGTTACTAAAACCGTGATTTTTTGCCAGAATGTCTCATGACAGTGAGTAAGCAAGTGCCACGTTCGTGACAACAGCTGTGTGCAGATCAACAATGGATCATATATCAAATGCAGGAGAGAGTATGAGCATGCAGCGTTTAAAGCGATGAAGTACTGACCTTACTTTGAGTTTGATTCCATAAAAAGTGATAAAAACATTAGTGTCCGTTGTGTGTGGGAAGAAAACTTCTTTTTACAGCGAAAAAAACCCCTAAACTTCCAAGCAAGCACGTAATGGGAAACTCAGAGAAACTCGCGGATTCTTCCACTGACCGCTGTGGCACACCTGCACCAGGGTAAACCTCCGCCTACTGCAGTCCTGCTTTACAGGTGAAAATAGAGCAACAGGACCACTGAGTCTTTGACTTTATTTATTTTCTGCTGTGTTTTACTTGCATCTATTTGAAAGAGTGAGTGTAAACACAAAAAATATTTTATTTTATGTAATGTGCAGAAAATAGGTTTAAATATTAAACAAATTTCTTCCAGTCAGAGAATGTTGCATATAATTAAATTTTTGCTTGATGCATAAAGTTAAAAGATTAAAACTAATAAAACAAGTTTTAAAAAGAGACTTTTCCATTTGATTACATTTTGTATGATGGATTATGCAGAAAAAGTAGAATTGGGCTGAAAGATCTATCGCTTTATCACCTCTTCAGGTTGTAAATCGTGTTTTTAAAAAGTAACTAAGTAATTAATTACTTTTGAAAATAAGTAATCAGTAAAGTAACGGGATTACTTTTTTGGGGAGGTAATCAGTAATTAGTTACTGATTACTTTTTTCAAGTAACTTGACCAACACTGCTTATTATAGTGGGCAAGAAGCAGAACATGAATATGAACATTTCTCGAAAGATCAAACATAGTTTTACAGACACACTGGAACAGAGATCTGTAGATTCGAAAACATCATTTGTAGACAGGAAGTGTTGCTGAAGCTCTACTCTGAGCAGTGGTCAGGGTCCAGGATTTGAGTGACGGGGCTCTGTCCACTCAGACTGGCCTCACAGCTAACTGAGCCCGCCTTCCTCCACTGGTCTGCAGAGAGGCTCAGGGTGCTGCTCCAGCTGTAACGACCATCTGTCCCCAAGACCTCCAGGCTGTTTGACAGCCCTGAAGATGGGCTACAGCCCCCCACCTTCCAGCCCAGCTTCCAACCTGAGGGGAACCCTCCAGTGGCCAGACACACCAGAGTGGCACTGCTTTTCTTCTCCTCCTCTTTGGAAGGAGGGAGGACAGTCAGGGTGGGCCTCAACACACCCACTGGAGGAGACAGCGCAGAGAGAGGAGAGAGTCAAAAAGGTGAAGAAACTTTGAAAGGCAGTTATATGGTAATCTATTCCTATATCTATTGAATAATACTTCAAAGTGAATAACTCATCTCTGTGATAATGTTCCTACATATAAATGAACCAAGCTGAAACACTCATGTGAACAGTCAAATCTTTGTCATCTGTGTCTTTCACTTCCTTTAAAACTACATTTAAAGTTAATGAGCCATGAACACCAAGATGATCTGCAGTTACTCTAAAAAAAATCACTTTTTTAATTTGGCAAAACTACGGATCACATTTTAAATCTAAAAATAAGCAGATATTGAAATAATGAGCTAAAATATTACAGCTGCTCTTCTGCAGTGTTACATTTTTAATTTATTAGTTTATTTTGACTTTTCTAAATATTTTTAAAAAAATATAAAGTATGATGAAAATAGATAATTGTTCATTGATTCAATGAATTTAACTGCAGCTTGGAAAGAATACGTTTTTTTCTCATTTTGTGACATCAGCATTTTTTCAATTTAACCTTAATTATTAGCAACATACAAAAATCTAAAGTTCATTAATTAGTATTATTATTAGTATATGTAGTATTATTAATACTACATGTTTTGCAAAGTAAAAGTTTTTGGTACTTACAGTTAACGATGAGTTTGGTTCCTCTGCCAAAAGTGTACCACAGTGATACAAACTCACTAAGTGGCCGCACAAAAACCGCCTGCACTCAGAACAAGTATCTAAGCACTTAGAAAATGTCTGCTACCCCAATACTTAATCTAAACGGCTACATTTATGCTAGTTTTAATCTAAAATGCTTTAAAAAGAACAAAATAATTTTCCTACAAATAAAGATAATATCTTGACAATCTACAAACTGGAAATAGAAACAATTACTGTCTTTGTAACAGAGCATCTAACAAAATGCTTCTCAATACTGACTACTAACAAAGCAAATTTAAAGTAAAGTAAAAAAAAATCACAATTTTCTATACTTTAGATTTCATACTAATCACACTCAAAATAAAACGTATCATTTGCAGCCATGGACACCTTAGTTGCAATCCCAATGTAAATATTTTCTTCAGTTGTTTCACGTTGCCTTCAGTGTGTTGAGAGCAGAGAAATGATTTCCATAGAGAGGAGGCTTTGCATCATCAGCTGATCCTCCAGAGAACTGAGAAGGTTTATAGTCCTGTGACTTCAACACTGCAGGACTCACATCTGTCAGTCAACACAGCAGAAAGCACAACCACCATGACTCTCATCACCATCCTCATCTGGACGCTGACCT